GCGGCCTTGGTTCGGGCCGCGCTGGGCGAGGAGGGCGGCAGCGCCAGTAGCAGCGCCCCGGCCTGGCCTGGGGGGAGCGCGCGCCGAAGCCAAGCGCAGAGCCCGGGCAGCCCGGCCTGGCGCAGTGGGAACACGGGTGGCTGCGCCTCCTCCAGCACCTCCCAAGTCTCGTCCTCTGAGATGGACGTGCCTGATGCCGTACCGGCGCCAATCTGCGGCAAACCATCATCGCTGCCCGCTACTGACGCTCCAGCGGCGCGATTCTCAATGCCCTCTCCACCGCTGGGCTTCTCCATCATTTCCTCTCCTTCCAGAGCCATGGGCTCCTCACCCTCGCCGTCTGTTCGCACGCAGACCAGCGGCCCATCTGGAGGCACCAAGGCCCGGGCCTGGGCCCAGTCCTTCTCGGTGGGGGCCCCAGGCGTGACAAGGATGACGGCGTCGAAGTGAGTTGGCTGGGGGGTGGCTGCAGCGCACGCGGGGTCCAGCGGGACTGTCCACAGCACCACGTTGGGGCGCTCAGGAGCTGGGTAGGGCGTGGGGTCCGCAGGCGCAGAAGCAGGGGCGGCACCTGGGTCGCCAGGATCCAGACCCAGGAGCAGGTCCAGCACGAGGCCTAGGTGAGCTGCGCCGGCCACAGCCAGGTCCACGCGCGCGCTGCCCAGGCGCTCCAGGCCGGCGCGCACCCATGACAGAGCTGCCTCTAAGCCACCCGTCTCAAAGGCTTCACGCACGGCTTCCAACTCTGCTGCACCCAGTACCTCGAAGCCATCCTGGGCCGGCGGCAGGAGTCTGTGGACGGACACAGGGAAGGGGGTGGGTGGGTCGGGCATGTCAAGGGCAGAAGAATCCTCAGGTCTGAACACTGGGCCAGGTGAGCAGGCGAGGGGTGGGGCCAAAGAAAAGCCAAAGTCCAAACTCACTGATTCTAACTCATTGGGACCCTATTGGGCAGGAGAGAACTGCACCTGTGTGGCTGCAAGATTGCAACTTTTTTACTGGAGGAGAAAGCCTCATATTTCTCCCAAGGAGGGGTTAGCGGGCTCGAACTACTGACCTTGCTCTTAGCAACCTACCGCATAAACATGAGGCCGCCAGTGAAAGGAGGGGCCAAACTGAGTGCAGATTGAAACCAGATTAAGATGTCAGGGCACACACATCCTTTGGACATGTGACCAGGAGAGACCAGTCCTTGGAGAAGGATGTCGTGTAGCGGGTCAGCAGAAAGGGATGGACACCCTCAATGAGATGAACTGACGCAATGGCTGCAGCAAGGGGCTCCTCCAATTGTGGGAGTGGGACTGCCATTAGGTCAACTCCAACTCATACGGACACTTAAGACAGAGTAGAACTGTTAACTTGGAACTAAAAAACTCATTTTTCTCCAAGGAGTGGCCAGTGGCTTTGAACTGCTGACCTTGTGATTCCTAAAAAGCAACAGCAGGGCACGCCTAGGAGAAGGGAGGGTCTCTGACAAGGTGGGGACAGACCCTCAGCAGGGCCCAAAACACTGAGCTCTTCCCTTCCTCCCCCTGAGGGGGCGGGTGTCTGGAGGCTGAAAGGCTAGGGGAATACTAGGGTGGGGCTCGGGACAAACAAAGAATCAGCCTGGGTAGTGAGCGGTCTTAACGAACGTCAGCTCTATTGGAAAAGAATAAGGTCCCCAGAACCTCCCTGCCGGAGGGGGGAGGAGGGTCAGTGAAAGGGAGGCTTTCCCTCCTAGTTCCCAGCAAGGGGTGGGGGTGGTGAGGCTAGAGAAAAAGAGGGGTAGCTGCCTGAGCCTCCCTATCAACCAAGGCAGCTAGGGTTGGGGAGGATTCAGGGGGTAGCTAGCAAGGGCGTCGGCAATAATGGGTTCATCGCACATCAAGGGCCGTGAGGATGTACAGCACCTAGCGACGGTTCCCTCAGTTACATGTGGGCGGGACTTGGGGCAACTCACAACTCTGGGCACGGACATGGCAGGAGACAGGCGATAGCAAGTGCAGGGTGCTCAAAACATTACAGTTCATTGAGAGCCAGGGTTTTCCAGCTGGTGGGGGGCAAGGAAGTGGGCGTGGCATGCAGGTGTGGAGGCCTAACAGCTCACCACCAGGAGTGGATTCCCACTCAGAACGACCCGGTGGGTTTCCAAGACTGTAACTCTTTCCAAAAACAAACACACTCACTCCCTCCAAGTCAAGCCTGACCCCTGGCGACCCTAGAGGGCAGGGTCGAACTGCCCCAGTGGGTTTCCTAGACTGTCCCTCCTCACAAGAGCAGAAAGCCTCTTCTCCCTCCTGGAGAGCGTCTATTGGTTTCAAGCTGCCCACCCAGTTGAGGGCAGTGGCCTTACTCACGGACTATGCCACTAGCGCTCTCAGCGAGTCTTAACTGGAATCACAGTGAGCTTGTGTGGCCAGAGTGAGCCCTCCAACATTTTAGCTGCAGGTCGAACTTGGGCCATAGGTCCGGGCCTGTCCTAGAATTCTCCCTAAAGAGCCCGGACCTTGTGGTCGCAGAGGCCTGGCTGGAGGCTGGGCGTGGATGACAGAGCAGGGTCACACACGCTGGCTTTGGCCAGAGCCTCGGAGACCTCAAAGCTTGCACCGTGAGCCGGGCTGGGGGGCTGGATGAAGGAGAGGAATCTCCAGCCAGCTCTCAAGCCTCCCCACAAACCCCCGACCCCCGGCTCACCTCTGCAGGGCCTCCGCCTGGCTCTGCACAGCTGCCCGCAGGCGCTCCAGCTCCTCGCCGGCAGGGCTGCCGCTGCGGTCGGTCGGGACCACGAAGAGAGCCACGGCTCCCAACCCGGCGCAGTCCAGCAAGGCCGCCGTCTGCTCGCGCGCTTGGCCTTCATCCTGGGAACTCCCGGCGCGGAGGGTCCGCACCGCCAGCAGCGGCGTCCCGCGCGCCAGGGCTGCCCGCGCGGCCTCCCCCAGCGCCGGGGCCAAGACCTCGCCGTTGCCCTCGGGTCCCGGCAGCACCAACACCAGCACGTTGGCCTCCGCCGCCCAGGGTCCCGGCACGGCGGGCGGGCAGCTCAGCTCGCCCAGAAAGAGGCCGGGGCCCGCCGCCCGCAAGCTGGGGACCCTGGAGTCCGACGGCCCCTCGGGGGGCTCCAGCGTCTCCACATCCTTGTCGCACAGGGCTGCGATCAACGCGGACTTGCCGGTGCCCGGGGGCCCCAGGAACAAGGCTGTCACGTCACCCCGCGGCGGAGGCATGGCTGCAAAAGGGATCGGGGAGACCCGGGTCAGGGAGCCCCCAATCTTCAGCGTTTCTAGCCGCCCACACGGAACCCGGAATCCAGTCCTCTGTTCCGTCCCCGTAGCCTTCTCCCATCCCGGCGTCACTCTCCGGGACCTAGAATTCCGGCGCCCAGGGACCCCGTGCGCCCAGGTTTCTGATTTAAACCCTCAGAAATCCGGGCCTCTGGCCCGCCCTCCATTGCCCTCCCCGCTCCCATCTTTCGGAGACTTTCCAAATCACCAAGCAAACAGCTGATAACCTCGGGAGCGCAGTTCTGGGCGGCGGGCCGGCCACTTAGAGGAACCGCTCTTGGGGTCCCCTGCAGACGGAAGCGGTCGGGGCGCCGAGATCTGGGGCTGTCTCGGGGTCTAGCCTGAAGTCACTCCCTCCAGGGCCCTGGCGTCTTCAAAGCGTGACCTCGGAGACGCAGCCCCTCACGCGCCTGCGCAGAACGGCCGACCGGCGCTTCTCTTCGCCGGCTGGGATTGCCCCCGGGGCCCTGGAACAATGAGGGTGCCAAGGCGCCTGCGCGCCTGCCCTCACTGGCGCAACCAGCTGTTTGTACGGTACAGGGGCTGGGAACGTCATCAGAGAAGGACCCCGGTGCAGAGAAGGACCCCTCCCAGAGGACGAGGTTGGCGCGACCGCATCACTGCCGGGTGGCATTCCGAAACCTCGCTGGGCTTCGAGGCTCCCCGGGCCGCACAGTGCAGTAGGCACGGGGGCGCGGACCTTCAGTGGGCCCTCTACCGCTCCCTACCGGCTGGCGGCGCTGTGGCGCGCGACTGACAGGCACTGCGGAAGGCAGCCCTGCGCTGTACGGAAAAAGGCTCGAGCCTGAGCTGGGGGCCTTAGTTCTGGGTGACTAGGCGAGGAAGTGCCTGCGCCGCTCGATACTCAGCTGGGAGACTGGAGGAGTCTTAGGATGGCAGAGAGAGGGATGTCTGCCGAGAGGAGACGGCCTAAAGGGCGAGGCCAGAGTTCAGGTAGCAGCCCAAGGCGCCTGGGCGATCGACGGGCGTCAGCGACCAACACTCGGGGTGCAAGGAGTTAGTTTGGTGCAGAAGGTTCGAGGCACACCGGAGGAGGCTCTAAGACTCTCAAACTCGGGAATCTCTTGGTCGGCTTGAAGCTTCCCTCGTTAAAGAGTTCCATCCTGCTGAGAGCTTTAGAAAATTGCATCTCTGGAGAGTCTGAGAGAGGTTGGCAAAAAGGAGAGCCACTGTCCAGATCAACATCGGACGGGGGGAGGCGGGGGCGGTGAGCTTTGCGCCAGCCGCTGCCTCGGCCCTCGGGTGATGATTGGCTTTGCATCTTGCATCACCTCTCTTGACTAGTGGGGTCCCAGAGAGACCATGGAGCAATAGAATCCAGGAGAGGAGTCCCCACCGCACTCACTGGGGACACGGTCAGTGAGTACTACCACGAAGGGCGGGGTGCCTGAGTTGAGGACAGGCTCTCTCTAGCGCTTGGATGTCCAAGGCTTGCCCATTGCTAAGGGCTGTGCTTGCTGAGCTGTCTGATCCGACCGGCCATCCGCACCTCACTCACTACTACCCTCAGCTGCACTCACCCTGCTCTGGCCACCCAGGCAGGAAGCCATGCAGAGAGACAGGATGGCACCCAGGGGAGGCTTGTGATGGGAGATGAAGCTAGGACAGGGCAGACACTTTCAGAGAGGAGGCCCCAGGGTCCAGCCCCGACATTGCCTGGGACATGCATTGTGGCATGGGCCTTGGTTTCACAGTCTGTGAAGCAGGGTGGCCCCTACCCACCTCAAAAGGCTGCTGTTCTGTTCTGGATTCGCTGGAGGAAGGTAGAAAGGCTCAGTGCTAAAGAGGGAACCTCATTTGGCAAAAACTAGTATCAATAGCTAAAAAAGACCCAGTGCTCTCCACTTGTTCCCGGGTCATAGCAACCCTATAGGACAGAGTAGAACTGCTACCCATGGTTTCTGTAAACATTAACTGGGAGCAGAAAACCTGAGCCTTCTTGCTCGGAGCTGCGAGGGGGTCCGCTGACCTTGTAGTTAGCTGCCCAACGCTTTACCCACAACACTCCCTTCTCAACAATAGCATATCATGTGCCAGGCAACATTTGATAGTTGAGCATTCACTTTCCCACTCCATCCTGCTAAGAGTTTAAGGAAATTAAACTCCTAACAGACCTTATGGAATTGGGATGATCCTGTAAAAAGGATTCATAATGAAAGTGGCTGCATTAATGCTCTCCCAGCGAGAGACCACCGAGAACACACCTGGGGATACTAAGAAATTTCAGGAAGTCATCGGGAAGAGAAGTCTCAAGATGGCATCCAGGTAGAATCACCAGGTGCTCCTGTTAGACCAGAAAATTAGAGAGGCATGGGAAGCAAGCTCGAGGAGAAGGCAACAGGACTGGACCGAGGTTCCAGAGGGACTTGATGGGGAGGAGGACGCAGGGGAAGGGAGCAGTGAGCAAACAATGCCATTGATAGGGGGACAACTAGGGAATTAAAATCAAGGATGAAGAGATCCTGTGGGTGTTGAGCAATGGCAATCTAGCTGAGAAGAGCTACTAAGGCAGAAGAGGGGCGAGCATGAATGGGGTACAGGAGGAAGGAAACAGGAAAGATCTAGGAAGCAAAGCTGTGGATCGTGGTATAAACATAGGTGTGTACACATAAATAGATTAATTCATAAACATTGAGGTATTGACCTATGTACATATATTTATATGGCAATACATTGAGGAAGTGGACGGACTTTGGGCCTCTGCTCAAGTCCTCCCTCAACACAAAAACACTTTATTCTAGCAACCTGGCATTCTGTGATGCTCACCCTCCCAACACAATCACTGAAGACAAAAATGGGTGCATAAGCAAATGTGGTGAAGAAAGCAGATGGTGCCTGGCTATCAAGATATAGCATCTGGGGTCTTAAAGGCTTGAAGTTAAACAAGCAGTCACCAAGCAGAGAAGCAACAAGCCCACATGGAAGAAGTATACCAGCCTGTGTGATCATAAGATGGTGATGGGATCAGGTAACAGGCATCAGAAAACCCAAAACAACAAAAAAACATATTGTTGAGAACGAGGGGAGTCTGAGCAGAGACCCAAAATCCATCTGTAGACAAAAGGACATAATCTCACAGAAGGGTCGCAAGGAAGGGATGAGTCAACCAGGGTACAGAATAGCACTGATGAAAACATATTCATCTGGTTCTTTGAGGCTTCCTCAACCCCCACCATCATGACCTCAGTCCTGCCTTTCAGTTCTGCTAGACCAGAGCATGTAGTGTTATAGATAAGAGCTGAACACACATGAAATCCAGGTCAAATACACCCCCCAGGTACAGATTTGGGAGTACCAGTACCAAGGGGGTTGGGAGAAGAGCGGAGGAAGGGTGAACCAATCACAATGATCAACACATAACACATATACCCCGTGGGATCACAACAGAAATGTGGGTGAAGGGAGAGAGAGGTTGGTGTAAGATAGGAAAGTAATAATTTATAATGTATTAAGGGGTCACCAGGGGAGAGGGAGGGAACTAAGAGGAGCTGATACCAAGGGCGCAAATAGAAAGTAAATGTTTAGAACATGATGATGGCAACATATGTACAAATATGCTTGATACAGTTGATGTATGCATTGTTATAAGAGCATCAATACAAGATATGACAAAATACCCATTTATAAACTATCAAGGGCTCATGCGGGAGGGGGGAGCGGGGAGGGAGGGGAAAAAGAGGACCTAATGTCAGGGGTTTAAATGGAGAGAAAATGTTTTGAGAAACGATGTACAAATGCGCTTTACACAATTGATGTGTGTATGGATTGGGATAACAGTTGTATGAGCCCCTAATGTTAAAAAAAATAAATATGAAAAAAAAGAGCACCAATAAAAGGATTTAAAAAACACACACACACTTGGGGTTGGACAAATTGGAGTTAATGCCCATTGCAACTAGGGACCATCGTGGGATGGGAGGGCACCAGGAAGCAGGGGTGATTCTGTGATTGGGCAAATCTAACTAACGCTTACTGAGGTGGAGGAAGAGGACCAAACAATGTAGGGGACCAGCCCCCACAATCGAATGGGTGTGGGAAAGTAACACTGAGGGAAGTAGGACGAGGGATGGTAGGAAAGCCACCACGTTGGTCAGTTAGAGATAAAGTCCAAGTCCATGATCCTGCTTTAAGTATCATTCCCACAGATTCTCTCCTTACAGCTATGCTGCCTTAAAATGGACACCTGGTTGAGTCTGCCTCCCTGTAGAAGCAGACATTCTTTGATTATCTCCTCCTCCTGTTGCACCTATGCCCCCTCATGCCTCTCCCCAATGCAGGTATTAGGTTTCTTCACCTGTGAGCTCACGGACTTGACCATTGTTGCCACCCACCTTGTGACATATCTAACTCCTGAGTATGCGTGTCTATGTATACCTACAAATATCCCAAGACAGTAAAGATCTGCTCTCTGCACGGACCTGGTGGTGAGATCATGGCCGCCCTGCAGGTGAGCATGCTACTATGAAATGTGTCTGACTCCTTTATTTTACTCTCTTCCCTATCCTATCTTCTATGGCTGTACTATGATCTTTATATATTATAGCCATACAATTGTGCCGACGAACCCCTCAGTTGTTAGAGGCTGGTTTACTCCGACAAATGGGTCCAAGGATTAGTTGTGTAATTGAGGGTAAAATTAAAGAGACATTAAACAAGATAAAGCATGCGAATGCTCACCTACAGGACGGCCATGATGTCAACAGCCAGGTCCATGCAGAGACTACGCTTCCAACCAAGGCTTATATACACTCAGGGCACGTAAGCCCCACCTAATTACAGGTAACCACATACGTAACAAGAAGGGGTTGTACAATAGGTATGTGTAAGAGGAAGGGGATGAACTAGGGTCATACATGTGACAAGGCACAAATATAACAAGATAGACTGGCTCAGTCAAATGGCAGCCTAACCTTGGTCCTCCCTGAGTTGGCTTGATCTTAAGTGTCTTTAGGCTTTCCTCCAGGGGAACAATCCCTTTTCCTTATCAGAAGGGAGTGGGCCTAGAGTGGGAAAGACTATAGGGTCTGATTGCTCTAGATGGCTGATAACCTTCAAGCAGTTGACCTACAAGTGTATAGTCATTGACTATGTGTTAGCAAGCAACACCTTAGGTTTGGGATATATTATGGGGGGCCAACCTGGGGGATGACCTTTCTGTTTCTCACATTACAAAGAGGTTCAAGCTATGGTTGGTGAGGAAGTAGGCTGCCACAGCCTCTGGGATCAGCCTGGGTAGAGGGCCTGGGGCTGGTCATTTCTGTGACTTGGGCCACATTCATGGTTTGTCCGGGTCCAGGCGCAATCAGGGTGTAGTCTGTTCTATTGGATCCATCCCATGCACAGCACTGTCCCATCTGCTGTGGATGACCTGG